GTAAAGGTAAATGAATATAATGAAAATATGACTTTAGACTAACATACCAAAATAAACTATACCAATAAAATAATACAGAAGCAAGCAAGACTTACCTCCTGAACAGAACATGGTAAAACAACACGGCTAGAAGACAAAAGAAAAAAGAATACATGTTACATATGAAAAAGTCGGCTTTAAAACACAGATCTCCACGTCTAAGGGAGTTTTTACTTTAAATCCAATGACAGCACAGTACGACGATGTCATTTATGAAAGAGGGTCTTTACAATGCCTACAGCTCTAAATAAGGGTTTTTAAACTGGGGAAATAAGACTACCATTCCTGGCTCTCAATGATCACTCACATTTAGCGCTGACTGTGCCAGGACCTTAAAAACGCAGTTCAGAGCTTCTGGTGAGGAGTGAAGGAACAAGAGAAAACTCATCAGTGGAAATTGCAGGGTACAGAATGTATTATTTGTGGACTGTCTGGTCAGGTTGCCCTCATGACATTTTTAGTATGGTTTCATTCTCCATCTACATACTATGCAACCTCTCACAGAATGCAAGTCTTAAATCTCATGAATGAACGCTTCCAAAAATTTCCCCAATATCCAATTACTTCTCAATTTTATTAAAAGAAAAACAAGTGAAAGGTACTTTAGACTTAGTAAGAAAAAGACTTCACCATAGAAAATACCTTGAACCTCATAAATATAACCCCCTCCAGGGTAGACTCAGTTGGATTCACTACAAGGTTGCTATGTTTGATCTTGTCCAAGCAAGTTTGTTATCGGACATACAAAAGGACCTACATGGAAACATAATGCTCCTAAAGATGAATTCCAAAAAACAGTATTATAGCGAATTATTTTATATCAGAATATTGCAGTTTATCTGCAGATTTTTACAGGGAAATATCTTCACTTATTCCCACCGTACACTCTGGAAACCAAGGCCATCCCCAAATATCAATTGTCTCAACATAACAGCTAATGTCCAAGATAGCAACTTCTTTTTTTTTTGGGCCTGGTCCTTCTCAGGCTTTTCTCCCCTAATCATTAAGCTACCACAGCAGTGCCATTTAAAGTCTTGATTTAACTCTATTATAAGGAGAGAGACAAAGATCTCAGCAGTCACCTTGAATTTCATTTTACAGACCATTCCCGATAGTTTTCCTCATTCCAACTTCTCTTCAGCCGCACTTTCCACCTACTTCTCCCTCCCTCGTCTCCTCAAACATCTGTGTTTGAATACTCACATCACCTTAATCTCCAACACGTACGAAACATGCCTCCTGTTATTTCTTCCTCCTTGACTATTGTGGGGGGAGGATCACTTATCATTCTTTGTTTTTCAGAAAATGGTTATCTAAAGACAATAAACAGTCTCAAAGTCACAATGGTTACTAACTTTTATTCTCATCAAGAATAAACTTGTTGCAGGCCAGCCAGGTGGCATAGTGGTTAAGTTCGCACGTTCCACTTCGGCAGCCCAGGGTTCATGGATTTGGATCCTGGGGGTGGACCTACACGCTCATCAAGCCATGCTGCGGTGGCATCCCACACAGAAGAACTAGAAGGATTTACAACTATGATATACAACTATGTATTGGGGCTTTGGGGAGAAAAAAGGAAAAAAAAGAGGAAGACTGGCAACAGATGTTAGCTCAGGACTAATCTTCCTTACCAAAAAAAAAAAAAAAAAAGAATAAACTTGTTATACAAAGTGCTTATACCAAATCTTTTTAGCTGTCTCCTGAGGGTACACACCAACTTGCTTGCTGTCTCAGTAACAGAAAAGAGACCGAGGTAAAAGGAGTGCAGAGGTCAGAGGAAAGACTAAGATATAGATCAGAAGCATAACTACGGCTAACCTGAGGAAGTAATGTGCAGGTGTTTAAAAATGCTGAGAAGCAGGAGAGTGGGAAGAAGCCATCTTTTGGGAGACTGGGCAGATTTACAAAGGCCGAATCAAAATCATGGGCTGCAGAGGAAATGGAAGGAAGGAAGAGAGGAAAGAGTTAAAGATTTCCTTGAAGCTTCACAAAACCAAAGAACTACTGCTGAGTAATTTTAACTACTACTCACTAGCTGAAGAGCCTCCTTTTTATGTAACACTTTCAGGGGAAACTTATTCCACAAAACGAAAGCGACTGATGAAGACATTGTGAATGAATGATGAGTCAAGTAACTTCTTCAAGATTTACTTAATAAAAAGTAAAATAGAAAAGCAACAGACAAGCTTTGATTTTCCATTATTATTCTAAAAGTAGTATTCAACTTTTGAGCAATTTGAAAATTTTCAAACTTCCCTGTAATTCCTCACGAAAATCATTTTCCAAATGGAACTAGCAAGTAGTTCTTTAAAACCAGGACTTTACACTAACAGCAACTTCACCTATTGCTTAAGTAACAACTTGAAGGGAACTCTCCACCCCGAAAAGTCATTTCCAACCTTTCAATTCATGTCAAAAATTGATGGCATATTTTAGGACAACAAACATTTGCCAAAGCATTTTACAGTTTACCAACATCTTCACATGGGAATGACCTATTCATCGCTCCCAACCAAAAACAATTTTAGAAAGTTGACTTGCGAGTAGGAAGAATCATGTTTTTCATTCAACAACACTGGTACTCACAGTGTGCTAGACTAGATGCTGGGCTCAATACTGGGAATACTTAATATAAGAAACATCCTCTGCCTTCAAAAAGTCTAAGAGGAGAATAAGTCCAGGGGAGACATACATGAGGAGTGAACATCGAGAAATGTAATTTATAACTCCTTATCAAAAAAATTACACTTTGGGCACATTTCAACATCTGTTACCTCGGAGCATTTAAATTTTTATAATGAAGGTAATGATTTGCGAAAAGCATAGTGTAACTTCCCAACGGGGATCGCTTTCTATGAGTTAGCTTGATACTCCTCACATAACCGTCAAAGGGATCGACTGAACACTTAATTCACATTTTAGGAGGGAGGAAATAACTCTAGCAGAAGAGAAATGACTAAATCTGTGATCTAAAATCAGTTCTGCTAATGTGACTTGGGCCAAGTCAATGTCCTTCTGTCTTATTTCCTCCATTTGTCTTAGTATCTGCCACCTCCCTATACTACAAAGATGTGAGAGCAATAAATGAGATAACAACTTGCATGATACAGTGAATAAACAACTTGGGAGAAAAGTTTTGTATAAATCCAAAGTTCAATACTATAAATAAGCCTGAAGTGAAAATGTGTCTTTTCTCAGGATCCCTGTCACAGATTAAAGTCGTAATTTTTCATTAATTTATTTAACAAATATTTACTGAGCACTTACTATGTGCCAGGGAACGTTCTCAGAGCAGGGGATACGGGAGTGAGCAAAACAGGCAAATTCACGGAGCTTACATGTAGTAACAGAATACATCCAGTAAAATAGAAAAATTAATACTGTGTTGCATGTTAGATGGTGATAACCACTTTGGAGAACAACAAATTCAGGAAAGCAAATACTAAATGGTAGGGGCTGCAATTAGGTCTTCAGAGAGATTCTCTAAGAAAAGTGACATTTAAGCAAAGGCCTGAAGGAAGAAAACGAGTTAGTGAGACGAGGGAAGAGCACCTTAGGCAGAGGGAATAGCAAGCAGAAAGGCCTTGACCTGAGCTTTTTTCTTGGAGTAGTGAAGGAATAGTAAGGATGCTTCGAATGGGCAAGGGAAGGGAGTAAATGAGCTCAGAGCAGTAAAGAAAATAGTAGTGTGAGATCTGAAGCTACTGTAAAGGCCTTGGCTTTTATTCTCGGTGAGACAGGGAGTCTTTGGAGAGTTTTAAGCAGAGAAGCCAGAGGAGTGACTTTTTAAAAAAACTCTGAGAACGAATCCTAAAAAATACAGTGTCTGGAGCTAGCTAAATTAAGCCAAAATTCTTAAGAATTTAAAATGAAAAGAGCATTTGAAAAAACAAAGAACGGACCATCTTCAAAATCCCTAGTGGCCCAAGGGATGCTGACGACACGAACCAGCTATGACAGCTGAATATTCATCGCCAATCAGATTCCCTGCGAAATTGCCAGTCCTTGCTGGTGGGAAACGCCGCAACTTCTCAACAAAATCGCCCGGTCGATCGGAAGCGCCTGGAAACCCTTCCATCGAACAGACCACACACAGGCCAACTCGTCACCTCAACGCCGTGAAGTAGGTGGAGCCCAGAGTGTCACCCCATCTTAAAGACGTGGAAACTGAGACTCGGAGCAGAGAGATGGCCCTCCCGTGCGGTGAACTGAGCGGCCGGGTGGAGCGCAGGGTTTCCCGACTCCCGCAGGAACTTCGGGGCGCCTACGCTGTCCCCCGAGTGCCGACACCCGGGCTGCCTTCACCTGGCAAGCCCATCTCCCGCGATTTCAGGCGGGCTCCACCCCAGACGACAAATCACAGTCAGACTCCCCACGTCGCCCCCACCCTGGGGCCTGGGGGTGGGCCCAGTCTCAACCGGGGGTGGGAGATTGGGAAGAAGGCGGGTCCCAGCGGAAACTCCCGGCCGCGCCTTCCCGAGCCACGCGCTCAGGCCGGGACCAGCCGCCGCCGGCCCGGGGCAGGGGGCAGCAGGGTGACCAGTGCGAGGCCCTGGGGGGCTGGGGTGGGGCGGAGGGCGCGCGGCGGAAGGGCCTCGAGCGGGCAGGGGGCGCGCGCAGGGAGCGGCCGGTCCGGGTCCCGCTCCTTCTTAGGAATATCCCGCTACTTCTCCATCACTGCATCTCCCACCACCGCCGTCCCGGAGCCTCGTTCGCGCCCACCGACCCACTCACAATTCCTTAATCAGCACCATCTTCCCGGAACCCCCTCACAGCTGCCGCCGCTGCCGCCGCTACCACCACCACCGCCACCACCGCCGCCGCCGCTACCGCCTCTCACGGCGCCTGCGCGGCCCCGCCTCCCTGCCCCTGCGAGCCCCCACAGCGCCTGCGCGTCCACACCCTTCCGCCGCGACCCGTCGCGTCAGCGCGCGCGAGGGGCTAGCCCCGCCCCAGTTCCGCGCCCCACCCTGGGCGCACGAGGTCTTCAGAGCGGCTGCGCGGCTCTCCCGAGCGCGTACGGCTGCTACTGCGCCTGCGCGAACGCGCACGCCCTCCTAGGGCTGCTCCCTCCAGTCCAGCTCCTTTGGGACGTGCGTGCCGCCGGCGTCTTGTGGTGAGTGTTCCAGTCGGTTCCTTGGAAGTCGTTTTCCGGTGACCGGGACTGAAGTTTCTCGCCCTGCCTTTGAGAGGAGGCCCACCTTCCTGACGGACATCCCGTTTGTGAAGTCCGCGTGAGAGACTTGTGAGGGGCGTGGAAGCCGACGCCGCCGGTTCGGCGGGAGGACCTTCCCCGGGTCACGACCCGGGCGCCCTCCAGAGGCCTCGTGAGGGCCGCCGTCTGACCCTGATCGCCTGGCGGGGCCGGCAGCGGTGGCCGCCGAGTCCCCAACGCCACACGCCCCCTGTCCCGGCTCCACGGTCCTCTAGGGCCTGCGGCCCCACAGGAGGAGCGTCCTACGCTCGCGACGGAGTCCCGGGGGGAAGAGGGGCTCGGCCGTGAGACCCAGGAAGGGACCTCTTCGGGGCCGCCGTTCCAGGGAAGGTCCCACGCGACCCCGCCGCCCGTGCCTGGAAGCCGAGAGGTGGACCTTGGGATGGTCACTCGCTTCCTCCGTCCCGGGCTCTGGGGTCACTCGCTCCCTCTGTGGGGTCGCTCGCTCCCTCCGTGGGGTCACTCGGGTCGCTCGCTCCCTCTAAGCCAGGCACAGTTGTAGGCCATGGGGCAACACCTGGAAACAAGATGTGTTCCCTGCCCTCGCTTGGAAACAAAAGAGTGACAGTCTATGCATAAAGGAAGAGGGTCCGCAGGAGGCAGAGCCGCCCCGGGGAGGCCTCGGGGGGCGTGTTGGAGCGTCGCGCGGTGACTGGCGAAGATGGGGCGAGGCGCCCGGCTCCTCCTCCCGGGAGCTTGGACCTGGGGCCGGCTCCAGCGGACGGGGCACCTGGCGCGGCCAAGTGCTGTGCTGGGGGGTGAAGGCGCTTCATCTCGTTCACCCCGAAACGGCGTCGTGAGAGAGGTGTTTTCGCGGGCTTTAGAAAGGACAAAAAAAAAGGTTCAGAGGGCCACGTTTAGGGATTTGTGCAAAACTCGCTCAGCCGGCGTGTTTGCAGAACCGGGTTTCAAATCCAGATTTTAATAACTTCCAAATCTGGTCTTTCCACTCCACTGACTTTTTTCTGGATAAAAATAAATAAATAAGCTGAGGCATGTTCTCGGTTATGGAAAGGAGGAGATATGGTCAAAATCTAGAAGATGCTTAGAGACAGGTGTAGCGCAAATGCAGTTTGGAGTGCCAGACCCCCGTATCAATTAGGAGATGAAGGCCCGAGGTGGTAATAGGAACTGCCAAACTAATTAGTCCATTTTATGTCGTAGTTTCTCCCCAGATGCTATGCAGCCTGAAGTTACAAATAGCTTTAAAAGCATGGATAAATTGTGGTTGACATGCTTTATCAACCATCAAGAAAAATTAGGATGTTGTGGAACATTTCTGTAACTTCTGAAGTCTTCCCACAAGTGTTCACTGATTCCATTGTCTGCATAGCTCAGTTGCTGCTCATAGTATTCAAATGTGTGTAAAATAAATGAGACGGTGTGCTGGATGGTGCGTAACTGAACCAGAATATGCTGTGGACATTGTCTCCTTTTCCCATCTGAAGATTCATGTTAAAACACTCAACTGGAAAACACCCAGTTTGGATGTATTTATTGAGGGAAAGAAAACATACACAAAATTAGCTAGGTTGGTAGAATGTGACATCTGTATAACTAAACTAAATAATTGTACATTACATCTGCTTAAGAGAGAAAAATGTCCCAATTTTCCTGGGAATATCAAAGAGGACTAGGGAGTGGGAAAGCCATGAAGTATCACCTCAAAATGAGCGCAAAGGACATATAAAGGAAAAGACAATTACACATGAAAAAAATAAACTAATGGACTGTGTGACATTTTCTTGTTTTAAAACTAATGGTGTTGAATCTTGTGTACTTTTGCAAATGTGGGCATAAGATAGGATAGAACTTACTAGTAATTGTCTCTGGATGTAGAAAAAATTAAAACCTGATTTCTCGCGTTCCTTGAAATGACTTTCAACCCTTAACAAAGGTAACCTTCACACACTAGGTGTCCAACTGAATTTAATTCTTCAAGCCTCATGTAACCACCAGTCTCATTACTTCTCTTGTCTACAGTTCTGAAGCTAAGAGCTCATTCTAGTAAAAATGATGGTAGATTTTACTGAGGCAAACCAAAAGATTCTGAACGGTGTTTGGGACACTTATTTTATGCGTGTTGATAAAGAACAACTCTGGTCAAAGAAATTTCAACGGTCCTTCAAATATTACAATTGAATTTGGCCTGTTTATATTTTTTCCCCTAAAGCCGCTGTTCTTAACCTAGGATGCAAAGCCCTTTTGGTGAGTGCTCCCAGGGAATTTATGAACCACTGAAATTATATACATAATTTCATGTCTATGTACATTTTTCTGGGGACGAGGTCTGTAGCTTTCATTTGCTTACTCTGCATCTTGCCATCCTGTTTTCTGTAACATCTCATTCCAGAGTTACCAATTGAGACTATTTCTATGAAAACTAGAAATATTCCCAAAAATGCTTTAATTTTGTCAAACATGAGGGCATAGGTCATAATATTGTACCACCATGGAAGGGACAGGCTTGGGCTTTGTAGTAGACAGCCCTTGGCCTAAATCCTGGCTCTGCCACTTGCTGGCTGTGACCTTGAGTAAATTACTTAATCTCACAAACACAATTTATTCATTTATAAAAAGGAACTCCTGATATCCACAACATAGATTTGTTGTGAGGAGTAAAAGATATGAAGTATGCAAAGTGTCTATCTTACATGTTGCCTGGTGTGTGTAATAGATGTCCAATGAATGGGAATCATGTGGAAGGTTACACCTTTCAGAGAGCAGAACAGCAATTTGAATTAAGATATAGTTAAGTTCCTCTTCATCCCTAGTGGTAACTATCAATCACTATTCATCCTAATGCAAGAAGAATGCATGTATGTGTACGTACCATTCATATCTGTAACCAGATATAGCTGTAGTTTACCCTTTCACCTGCAGAGCATAATACAGATTTCTGTTCTTTTGTATCGTCATCAAATTTGGTATTGTCAGAATTTGTCATTTTTGGCACGTTATTGGTTTTAAAATGCTATCTCACGTATTCACTTTATTTTTCCCTGCAGGGTGAAGATCTTTCCATATTTACTGACCATGTTCTTATTTATTGCTCATTTTCCTATTGGTTTTGTTTTTTTTTCTTTTTGATTTGTGGAAGGTATATATAGCCATTTTGAATTTGAATTCTGTGTTGATTATGTGCACTTTATGTATTTTCTTTCCATCTGTGGATTGTTCTGTCACTTTGCTTACAGCAGGGCTTCTCAACCTCTGCAGTATTAACATTTTGGGTCAGATAATTCTTTATTGTGGAGACTGTTCTGTGCATTGTAGGATGTTTAGCAGCATCCCTGGCCTCTATCCACTAGATTCCGGTAGCACCCCTCCAATCAGGACCATCAGAAATGTCTCCAGGGGCTGGCCCTGTGGCCGAGTGGTTACGTTCATGTGCTCCGCTTCAGTAGCCCAGGGTTTCAGCAGTTCGGATCCTGGATGTGGACATGGCGCCGCTCATCAAGCCATGCTGAGGTGGCATCCCACATAGCACAACCAGAGGCACTCACAACTAGAATATACAACTATGTACCAGGGGGCTTTGGGGAGAAGAAGGAAAAACATGTCTTCAGCCATTGCCTGGTGTTCCCTGGGGAGAAAAATTGCTCCTGGTTGAGAACCACTGGTTTGTAGTGACTCTGTTGTGCAAAGTTATTTATCTTTAAGAAAATCTTATCTAACATTTTTTGAGTTTTTATTATATGCCAGGCCATAAGTGTTTCACGTGATTTAATGCTAACCCTAACCCATTTACTCATCACAGCACATATAAAGTAGGTACTATTATTATTTCTCTTTTGTAAAGGAGAAATCTTGTTTATGTCTTCTCATGTGCAGCTATTAATCAACTTTACTGAGCTATAATTTACATGCAATAAAATGCACCTATTTTAAGTATACAGTTTGAAGAGTTTTGTCAAATATATACTTCTGGGAATCATTACCACAGTCAAGATACATGACAGTTCCATTGCTGTAAAAGGTTTCCTTGTGCCACTTCCCTGTCAGTCCTCCAACACTCCCAGCCCGGCATGCATGGGACTGCTTTCTGTGCCTGTAAATTAGACCTGCCTTTTCTAGAGTTTCTTGTCGTTGAATCATATAACATGTATTTTTTTGTATCTGTCCTCTTTCACTCAGGATAATGTTTTTGAGATTCATTGATGTTGTGAGTAGTTCAGTCCTCTTCATTGCTGAGTGATGGCCCCTTATATCTATATGTTGGATTTTGTTTTATCCATTTACTTGTTGATGGACTTTTGAGTTCTCTCCAGTGTTTGGCCGTTAAAAATAAGTTACTGCGAATATTTGTGCAGAAGTCTTTCTGTAGATACATGTTTTCATTTCTCTTGGGAAATTTTCTCTTGGATTATAAGGCAAGTACATGTTTAACTCGAGGAGAAATTGCCAAGTGGATTTGCAAAGTGGTTGCACCATTTTACGTTCCCACCAGCAATGTATGAGAGTCCCGTTACTCCATGTGCCCGTCAACACATTTTAGCCATTCTAGTGGACATGTTGTGGGATCTTATTGTAGTTTGATTCACAGTCTCCTGAAGACTAATGCTGTTGAGCACTTTTTCATGTGCTTATTGGTTATTTGTACATCTTTTGTGAAGTATCAGTTCAAATCTTCTGCCCATTTTTAAATTGGTTTGTCTTTTTATTATTGAGTCATAATAGTTCTTTATATGTTCTAGTCCTTTCTCAGTTCTTTATATATACGAGTCCTTTCTCAGATGTATATGTTGCCAATATTTTCTCCCAGTCAGCAGCTTGCCTCTTCATTTTCTTGATGGTATGTCTCAAACAGCAATTTTAAATTCTGAGCAAGTCTTAAGTTACCAGTTTTTTTTCCTTTATGATTCATGCTTTTTGTGTCCTACCTAAGAAATCTTTACCTA